TCTGTATGAACTTGGAGAATTTCTACGAAGAAGACCATACGTTCTTCAAGGTAATCATTGGAGATTTTGATGGTAAGAATGGACCAAGAAGAGTGTTTGAAGAGCGTCACACTGGGACTCACGGATTTAGATGAGACGACCAGGGCTGTCTGAGTTTATCGTGTCGACGTGGACCATTCATGGTAACTCGTAATTGCAGAAACCCCACCCTTATCGTTGAACGTGAGATTCTCTCAGTGGAGGGTACCATAATGAAGTAGCCTACATCATAGAAAATCGAAAGTTTTTGCTTGCTGATGTCACTGTTGTCCTAGAATTCTACAGGGGTCAGACCATCGCCACCTTCTTGCAAGATTTCTCGCGGAATGAAGAAAAGCTGATACATTCAACTTACTAATCGACTGTTGGGAAGATACCGTTTTTGGTAACATCGATGAGGAATACGATCTGCTGATTCAACTTCTTAACGTTAGCGCTATGAAAGTTGAGAGTTCGAAAGTCACCAAGAGACGTCTGCCTCCAGAAACACTCGAGCTGATACGGCAGCGTGGAATCGCACAAGCTGCGGGCAACCGCCAACTCACATCCGAACTTGCAAAACAATGCAGACAGGCGATAAAAGAAGATCTTAAAAAGAGAAGAGCAGTAGTAATGGTCGAAGCTGCAGAACTGAAAAAGTATTCGCAAGTCCTACCGAATCTCCAGCGATTATAAAACCAAGATGATTGCACTCCGACGCCCAGACGCAACAGTCACAGCATCAAGAGTGGCAATGAAGAAAATCATTATGAACATGTCGTACAACCACTTTTCCCTTCCGAAATCCGACATGCTATTTCGTCGATGAAAAATGGAACAACACCAAGTCCGGAGAGGGCAAGATCTGAACAGCTGAGGAACCTTCCGCTAGTCCTCGTAAACACACTGAACCAGCTCTTCACACGTTACTCGTCTCAATGCAAGGTCCCTACTCAGTGGAAGACCAGCAAGGCCGTGTTATTGTTCAAAAAGAGTGACCTACACGATATCGGCAACTATCGCCCAATCTGATTGCTGTCTGTTGCCTACAAACTTTTCACGCGAGTTGTCCAAAACAAGGTTGAAAGAACACTGGACGAAAGGCAGCCATGTGAGTAAGCAGGTTTTGGAAAACGATTAAGTACAACAGACCACATACACACGATGGCAAGACTCAGTGAACTATCACGAGAGTACGAAAGAGCGCTCTATCTCACTTTCATCGATTTAAAGAAGGCCTTTGACTCAATTGAGATAGAAACAGTCTTGGAAGCCCTTGATAGTCAAGGAGTCCCTACTCAGTACATAAAGATTCTTCGTGATCTGTACAAAAATTTCACAACCAAGGTATCACCATTCTATAACGATATTAATATTGACGTCAAAAGAGGAGTTAGGCAAGGCGATACCATCTCGCCAAAATTATTTACCGCCACACTCCAGAACGTCGTTCGAGCATTGCAATGGGATAATATGGGAGTGAAAGTCGATGATCGGCAGTTTCGCTTTTCTGATGACATCGTTGTTACAACACCAACCATTAGCCAAACGGAACGAATGTTTGCCGACTTTGGTAAATCCTGTGGAATAATTGGTCGTCGACTAAATCTCATAAAAACGGTGTCCATGAGTAAAGGCTTGGTTACCTAGTGCCCATACACGCTCAACAAAACGAACATCTCCGAGTGCTCTGTTACGTCTATTTAGGTCGGAAAAGTCGAGAAATTAACAAGATGAACGACTTAGCTTTAGAGTTGAAGAGAAAGAAACGAGCGGCTTGAGGAGCTTTCAAGGGCATCGAGAATGTATTGAACAGATCAAAGAACACCCGTCTGCGTGACCACCTTTTCGACTCAGCAGTACTTCCTGCCTTAAAGTATACGTGATTTACCTGTTCGCTATGTGAACGGTTGAAAGACCACTCATAATTATTGAGTGCGAAATCGAAAGGGCGATGCTTGGAGCATTCCGGGTCACACGAGTAAGGGAAGAATTGATGCAAAGCTCCAACCTGTGTCAAAGACCAATAATCAGAGATGTGTGCCAAACTGGCGAAGATGAGGTAGACTAGACACCTAGTGCATATGAACAACAACCGATGAACACGAGCCATTAGTGAGTGGATTACTCGAGACGTCAAACGTACTGTAGAAAGATCACCGACCCGATAGTCATAGTTCTAAACGAAAAGCCTAGAACAAAGGTTTGGTGCTCAACGAGTCTATCGGAGTGCATTCGCCTGACCCAAGGAAAACCGAAAAAAGATTGACTTCCATTTTTGGACGTGCAAATCAACCTGTCCAAAAACGATTACATCACCAAATGGTACTGAAAGCCAAGTAACAAAAACATACTGATTCATTACCTTTCTGCTTACCCTTCACACTGAAAAAGGGAGTTTGTGAGCAATATATTTGGAAAAGCTGCCAGTGTGTGCACAGGAAGAGAGGAAAAAGAAGAGTCCCTGAACGTCGCGCAGTAAATAGTCATTTCCAGAAGCCACGAAATGGTAGCTCGGTTGAAACGGTTTGAAGAAAAACTATACTCTAAAAGAATCGTAGCGTGAATAAGGGTCGCTTTTATCTTGCCATTCATTTCCAAAGAAATGTGCACAGCTATAAAGCAGTGCCCAAAGATGGCCGGTGTTCATAATTCTGCAGCAGTGATTAAGATGCAATCGAACACTTCCAGACGCCAGTTAGTTCATGACATTCTGAATGACCGTCTGTGCATAAAGGAAAATTGCACAACATATCCTAACAGTAAAGTTGATGATCGCAACGGTTCAGATACGGTATAAGTTACCTCTTTTGCAGCGTGTGGAGACGAATATGGTGGCAAAACAGGTAGACTACTCTGCTTTCGTGTAAAAAGAAGGACAAGGTTGGGAGATTTAAAGTCAAACCAAGCACTCTACTAGGTATGTACAAAGCACAGATACAACCTAGAAAAAAAGGAAAATCTAGAACAGCAGCGTGCGCACCACTTGTAGCGTTCTGGATGAATTCCAGAAATCCAACAATGAACCTCAAAGAAGAGTGCCTTGAGACAGCGCTTAACATCGCACCATACGTCAGTCTAATTTTTGGACTTGTGCCAGGCACATTCCTTATCCCCATGTAAGCCTGAACGATTGCTTTCCATGAATAACTGGAAGATTTAAAAAGATGGAAAAAGTGAGTGTTTAGAAAAATCTTTTTACCATGCGAAAAAATTTATGGACTAAATTTTTTTTATGTATTCTTTCTTGATAAGCTTACACGAGGTTGATAAATATATTTATTTTCGGCTAACGTTTCGACGTCTTCGTCTTCCTCAGAGCCTTCGTCTTCCTCAAGAAAGAATACATATTGATTAATCACACCGAGGTTTAGGGAAGGTCGGTTTCGAAATATTACTACGCTTTGTGCTAGCTGATAATACACCGACCTCTGCACGATGTGCGCAGTGATGTATGTCCGGAAGAAATACAAGTTGTTACCACCGGACATTGTCATTATATATCCACCATCAGCATCGTGTATAAAAGGGCATCACTGAGTGAGGATGCCTCATTCGAGAAGATGGCTCACTGAGGAAGATCTGGCTCGACACGAAGGCGAAGACGCAACGTCGAGGCGAACAACGAGCATGGACCATCGACTCGGATCACCGGCTCTGAGGAAGACGAAGACGTCGAAACGTTAGCCGAAAATAAATATATTTATCAACCTCGTGTAAGCTTATCAAGAAAGAATACATATTGATTAATCACACCGAGGTTTAGGGAAGGTCGGTTTCGAAATATTACTACGCTTTGTGCTAGCTGATAATACACCGACCTCTGCACGATGTGCGCAGTGATGTATGTCCGGAAGAAATACAAGTTGTTACCACCGGACATTGTCATTATATATCCACCATCAGCATCGTGTATAAAAGGGCATCACTGAGTGAGGATGCCTCATTCGAGAAGATGGCTCACTGAGGAAGATCTGGCTCGACACGAAGGCGAAGACGCAACGTCGAGGCGAACAACGAGCATGGACCATCGACTCGGATCACCGNCGACGTCTTCGTCTTCCTCAGAGCCTTCGTCTTCCTCAAGAAAGAATACATATTGATTAATCACACCGAGGTTTAGGGAAGGTCGGTTTCGAAATATTACTACGCTTTGTGCTAGCTGATAATACACCGACCTCTGCACGATGTGCGCAGTGATGTATGTCCGGAAGAAATACAAGTTGTTACCACCGGACATTGTCATTATATATCCACCATCAGCATCGTGTATAAAAGGGCATCACTGAGTGAGGATGCCTCATTCGAGAAGATGGCTCACTGAGGAAGATCTGGCTCGACACGAAGGCGAAGACGCAACGTCGAGGCGAACAACGAGCATGGACCATCGACTCGGATCACCGGCTCTGAGGAAGACGAAGACGTCGAAACGTTAGCCGAAAATAAATATATTTATCAACCTCGTGTAAGCTTATCAAGAAAGAATACATATTGATTAATCACACCGAGGTTTAGGGAAGGTCGGTTTCGAAATAAATTTTTTTTATTAGGTTATGACAGTGTTTAAGTAGATTGCGAGTCAACATGACCTTTCAAGGCTCTGAAGAAGTTAAAACCGTGGAAGAGTCATTCAAAAGTATTGAATGAATCATGCTGTTGAGTCTGCTCAAAAAAACCAAGACTTGTTTATATATTATATCATCTCACAAATCAAAATATATTATCTTCCTTTCTCTTCTAACTATTCAGCTGTATTTATCGTCTTCCGAACATGTTACCCTTCTTTTTTTTGGCTTTCCACAGTCTTTATATCGATCTCCCTGGAAGCCAAAATTTTTTCACTTGAACACAAACTTTCTGTTTTTTTCCAATATGTAAATTTTTTTATGACGATCTAATTACTAAATCCTACACTCTATAGCAAAAACACTTTCGAAGCCTTAAGTTATTTTCAAAGACTAACTGTAATTTGTTTTAATCCGCTAAACCTCTAACTGAACCGTAAGTACCTTATCCATCTTGTATCGTTGTCGTTTAAGTTTTAGTTGCTCTCCAACTTGCATTCGTATGATGTCCATCGTTCCATCTTTGTCGATTACAAGAGATGCACCTGCAACATTTCCAACGATGAAGATCTTCAAATCGTTCAGCGAAACCTATGGGTTTCAATGTTTGTGTTCTTATAATTAAGAACTGTAAGTAGGCAGTACTCAGTTATCATAGGTGCTGTTTGCCATGCCAGCGGTTTACCGCCTCATCGTGGCTGGAAGGTGGTCCTGGGTGTCGAGCTGAGGTGTACAGCGAAGCGTCCTACGGCAGAGTCTCCCAAGCTGAGGAGTCTGGCGTTTCCATCATGGAACCCAGCTAAGAGTAAACGAGTACCAGGATCCATCACTGTCCCGGTATGAAATTAGTCGCATGGTGGTAAATCTCCCTCTGATTCACAAAGGCCGGCGACTGTTCGTAGTGGGGAAGACCTGTGGCAGACTTTGGCCAGGTTGACCTCAGGACTCCAGGGAACCATAATGGCTAGAAAAGGGAATTATGGGGGGACCCGCACAACCAGTGAAGACTGGCCATCTATGTATCCAAGTGAGTGAGGCACTGTTTGTTGACACAAAATTAAGTAACTCCCAAGTCCGACTTTATATTGACCTCGGCATTGATTGAATAATTCTTTCTACTTCTGTTCAGCAAAAGGGAAGGAAGTTCTGAGGAAGGCGAAATCCGCCGAAAGGTCAGCTTGTACGTAAATAAAGAAATAAAATTGCAATTTGTGTTTGCTGAACAGAAGTAGAAACAAAATTAAGTGCTCATTTTCCTTGTTGGGACCACGAATGCTATCTGTTTCGAGTAGACATTCTTTGTAATGCCCATACCGCTGTATATTAGTAGGCACCAGTCACAAAATTTGGACTTCCTTCTAGATTGCTCTATTGCTGCTTTTTCTAGTTGATTTTTTCTGAAGGTAGTATACTCCAAATATTCATTTTTAGAATAAAAGGGTTTTGAGTTTTGCAAATATCTCAGCATCATTAAAAGGGTTTTGGTTTTGCTTTTCGTGAGCTTACACTGATTGACTTGAGGCCAACTCCAGAACTTCGATCACCCACTACAGCCTCGTAATTTTTTTCCGTTTTCACTCAAACGGTTCATTACCTCTCCTCTCATCCCTCTCACACGGAAAGGGCGCTTGTGAGAAACATGTATCGAACAGCTACCACCGTGTGCACAGGAAGACAACAGAGAGAGGAGTCCCGGAACTTGGCGCGGCAAATAGCCATTTTTAATGGCTACGAAACTGTAGCTCGAGATAGGTGTAGAGAAAACCACAGGTACCCCAACGATAACTCTAGCGGCAACAAGGTCCCGTTTATATTGCCCTTCATTTCAAATGAAGTAAGTACAGCTATAAAACACTGTTTAAGAAGGACCAGTCTAGAGAATTCGGTAACGATAATCGAAATACCACCGAGTAATCTAAGGCGCCAACTAGTTCGTAACCGCCTATACGACCGTCTACGTGCAACGCAAAATTGCATAATTTGTCCCAATGGTAGAGACGGTGACTGCATGAGTTCGGGTACAGTCTATCTAATCTCTTGTAAAGCGTGCGGGGACGAATACGTTGGCGAAACGGGTAGACCACTCTGCGTACGTATAAAAGAACACCTAGTCGGCAAACGTAAGCAAAGTACTCCACTAGGTACGGATAGCACGCAGAAACATAACGGAGAAGATTTTGAAGTAAGGGTTACGATCCTCGCGCAAGAATCGAGAACACAAGCGCGCAAAACTCTTGAGGCGTTCTGGATTAATTCCAGAAATCCGAAAATGAACCGCAGGGAGGAATGCCTCGTTATCACGCGTGATATTGGACAGTATATAAACCTGTTATTCTGATGGGGAGGGGCACATTACGCTTCCATGTGAATTTGGTGCGGTCGGTCTTCACGCGACGTACTCAGTGGAAGACTCAAAGAAAGCGGTGTGTGCAGAGCTATGCTAAATGTGATTGAAATGTTGGTTTAGCGTTTTCTCTGTTTGGTTATGGAGGTGTTTGGCCGAATGGATTGCTGTCAAGTTGACCCTTCCAAGCTCTGAGGAAGGCGAAATCCGCCGAAACGTTAGCTTGTGCGTAAATAAAGAAATAAAATAGCACCTCGTGTTTGCTGAACAGAAGTAGAAAGATATATTCAAACGGTTCGGTTTCTTTATGAGAAAATTGTTTTCTCTTTACTTTTTAGTTACTGCAATCGGTTTTTCTATGACATACTGACCCATATTGCCAACATTTTCCTCAATTCGATAAGCTGGTGTTGAAAAAATCGTTACAAGATGTTTTCCGATTCTCTCATAGCCACTCATAGGTGGTTGATGACCACGCACAATCAATGACAACTGAAACGTAAACGCGATAAGTTATGGTTACTTTTTCGATATTATAGTATATACTAGGTCAATTCAGTGTGCGTTCTATGTCCAATAGCATTTGATAGACTCCTCCAGTATAATAGATACCATTTCGAAGTTCCTAACCCCTTAACACATTGGTGACAAAACATGTGCCCTCGCCGCTCTCACGTCACGTGATGCATGTATAGTCCTGTCGGCATGTGAATCGTTTATGATACATAATATCAAAAGGTGAGTGCTGTCTATCGGGCTCTCATAAATATGATTCTACGAAGTTGTACTCCATGAAACTCTCTCGAACATATTAAACCACAAAGCCGATTAAGGTAAAGAAAGGATAAAGCGGTCGGCGTTGATCAGTCCCTGAGGGGTGCGCCATGCATTCGACTTCATTAAGTATCGTTGGAGGTGATTGAATGCTTATCTGGCCTTCCCAATAAATCGCGGTAGCCTGCTGATGTATCGAGCCAGTGTCGCTATCCTCCCAGACAAGCCTGGTACCAATTCGCCGAACTCGAGGATGGAAGGTTTGGTGGACCTTGGGCGTGGGGATCAGCTCCACGTGTGTGTCGCAGTGGTGCCTCCAACCACGCCCTCACAAAGCCGAATAGAAGCATAATAAATGAATAGTTCGGCTTTCGACAACACTTTAAGGATGCATTGCGCGACTCTGCTAAGTATCTTTAATGTGATCGAATGCGTATTTGCTTTATATAGTGACTCGTGGGACCTACCAATCTATCAAGTCAGCGTTTTTATCCTCCCAGGCAATTCCGGCAGCGATTTGCCAGGTCCAGAAGTATGCGCGATTTTGTTGGGCAAAGTTGTGGGATTAAACAAACAACCATGTATGTATCGGAGGCCACATGTAAGTACTGCGCTATAAGCGCCTTAAATTATTATCCGTTTGTTAAAGAAGTATTTTCTTTATATGGCAAAGTTCTACAGCTCCTAAAACCTAAACAGCAGTGGAAAAGTCTCCGCAGAAAAGGTCTTTGACCAAGACATGAAAATTGCTTCGTAAATAGTATTGTGCTCTACTTGACCACAATTAGGACTACTCGGTTTCAGTTCCTGTTATGGAATAAAGGAAAACGTACGTGATTTCTTTTAATGAAATTTCGAATCTGTATTGGACCGAAAAGATGGCCGACACCAATGCCGCTAGGATCGCGACGAATATTCGGCTGTAAGGCTTTGTTCTCATTCTCAAGTGCTTCTAATACCAATGTTAAAAGCAAAACAATAAAAAATGTCAGGAAGGAAGGCATTGTTCTCTAGAGGAACCTTGTAGGAATAAAAAGGATAAAGCGTTCGGCGCTGACCAATACATCAGGCCTCCGCCACACGTTCAATGGCATTCACGACACCGTAGAAGTGACTGAATACCTATCTGTTCTATGAAATGGCCTTTGGGCAACCGTCGATGTATCAGATCAGTGTATTTAATCGTCCAGACAACTCTGTGTCAATTTGTTGACCCCAGATGGATGGAGCGATTGGTTAGCCCAAGTAGCGGAGTAGAACCAGAGGGCCTATATGTATTGCAGAACGTTTATAACCATTGCGCTACACAAGGAAACTTTATGAGCTACAATAAGAGCATTATAACATTAGCAGACCGTCATGAATACAGATGAGCTGTATCCTAACAACTTGGGATGAACAGAGCACTTCAGAAGATGAAAGACTAAACATAGGTGTTCCTTTTTTTTCCTTTTTCTCGAAAATTACAAATTTGTTCTTTAAGTACATCATTTAAGGATGCGAGTCGTGCAGTCGTCGGAGACTTCCTGCAACACACACGTGGAATCGATCTCCGCGCCCGTGGCTCACTAAGCCTTCCATCCCTCTAGGGTCGGCACCAAATTTGTCTGGGGGAATAGCAGCACTGGCTCGATACATCAGTAGGTCACCGCGAGTCATTGTAAAGGCCAGATATGCATTCAATCACCTTCAAACGATGCTTAATGAAGTCGAATGCATGAGGCATCCCTCAAGGATTGATCAACGCCGGCAGCTTTATCCTTTATCCTTCAAGTACATCCATCGTTCGTTGTCACTACTCGTTCACAATGCCAACGTATTCTGCATCGATGAAAGCTGAATAGGTAATTGCTTAGCGTCACAACCATTTAGTATCAAGCTAATATATAAAGCGGTGTAGAAGTGTTTTTATTGACAAATCCTTGAAAAATGTTGTTGCAACCTCTATAGTTACACTTAGAACTCTGAGACACCACACTGAGATGTTAGCATTGTTCATGAACTGCTTCTATTCGCTCATTTATATCTGCGATTTTCTTTGCTGTTCTTTCTTTTTTGCTAGATTCATAAAACCTCATCCCCCTGTGACAATTACACTACTGAATTGAGAAGAAGTTTCTTAACCTTAAGAGTAGCTTGCTCAATCGTCTGGCGATCATGTTAACGTCGATAATATTTTCTCAATAGTTGTGTCAATCATGATAACGAGCGCTTACCTCAAATGTCCAGACGTCGATATGAGGATCGGACCATAAGAAGTCTATATGCCTGTCTTGTTTATGCCTGGTAACAATCGGTTTCCTTAGCGCGGCAATTTCGCCTATCGTGTGAATGTTCGGCGATAGGCCACCATGCATGCAAAGAATCTGTTGACTGATAAGGCACGCAATAGGCATCACACTGGAACTGCTGTGGATTTTATTAACATCTTGAAGTAGAGAGATTTTTAGTTTATTCCTCTATTGTTTCTTGGCTAAAGGGTCGAATTATGAGATTACGGATGTTGCGCAGTAGTTAGAGGTGCCCCGTGATACAAATAACGTTGCTTATGATAAATCAGTACCGTAACCATCTCTAAGCAGCTCTTCCATTCCTCCGACGTAACCAAATTATTTCCAGACCAGTCTGAGAGGATAAAAGCATTGAATTGACGCAAGGGTAACCAGCAAAGTCAGTTTACAGATCAAATATGCATCCAGCGACTTTTGCTTACTAGATCCGAATGTCACTTCAAGCAAAGGAGCAAGTGTAGATCAGCGTTTAAAGTCTTCTCGCAATGCAGACTTGGTCTTTGATTCAATCTTGCTTTCAGGACAAACTAGTGCTTCTATCTCACTGTCGTCGGCAAACAAGTATTATGCTTCTCCGGTAGAATCAAAAGCACAGATTTCAATGTTAACCTTTTTGTTCACTTCCTGCTACAGTTTATTTCACGGATGATGAGATATCTGCAAAACTCCGGACCGCAGGTGTTCGCCTTGGGGGTCGAACACACTATTACGCTTTCGAGGGGCTAACAAATTTACCAACACATCAAGCGGGTCCTTCGTTTCGCTTGTCTCTCAGCTAGTTTCCTATTGATCAGTACCATCAGCAATCACCCGTCAACGGGATTGATCTGAGGAGCCCACATCGGCATTGAACCCAGTTAAGTCGAGGCAGCAGTTGAAATCATATAATCAAATACCTCTATTTCATTCTAGTGGAATCCTAACAATTGCTTTGTCATTCTGTTCAACATCTTTTAAAACTGCTCATTTAGCACGCAGTAAACAGTGTCAAGAGCTGAAATAAATGTCTACCTGTATACTTTGCCAAGTCTGTGCAGCAGTTTCCTATATGCTTTTGGAAATCGCGTCTTTATTTCACTTCGGAAGTTATATGTCTAGAATTATTAAGAAATATTTATGTTTAAGTGACTATCGCACGAATACTAATCAATATTACCTTATTAACTGAAGGATCTTCGTGATTTCCTCGACACAAGTATACAGCTTTGGGCATGACTATCTTCAGAAGTAGCACGAACATTAAAACCTGGAAATTCTTTCAGGAAGGCAGTTTTTTCAACAATATTCAAATTCTATTTTTTCTAAATGAGTATGGGCATAAAGTTTCATTATAAAGTGACATTTTGTGATGAAATGTGAACAAAACCACACAAATCGTATGAGTTTAAGAAACACTCAAGTGCATGTTCTACTTTTACTTCTAAAATATGACGTCATACAGAGGAGTTTTATTCTTTCAATAGGACTGATTCAGCTAACAACGAGTTCGACAATTCTCTAGGAAGACTAGTTGAGACTAAACCAGTGCCAAGAATAGCAGCCCTTGCACAAGAGTCCGCGAAGTGACAGGATCTCCCACTGATAGAGATCCGGCAAGTTGTGAAGGCCCTAGCACGGTTATCTGGAAAAGGTAGAAAGGAAAAAAGCACTTATTCAACCAAAAAAATACCATAAAAATACAAAAAGCACATGGACATTTTTGAAGGCAAGCTATCTGAGAACCAGTATACTTGTACGACTTCTTAAAAATATTAATCTGCCAGCCATTGTGAGTACGAGGTTTCAGTAAATCTGAGCGATCAATGGGTGAACGACACTGGTTAGTAACCGTTTTCTCGTTCACTTTTTCGAAAATCTACACCGATTTTCTCTTTGCACATGCATACATATGAACAAATGAAATAAATAACGTTGGAATGCTAAGAAGGGTCACTTCGAACAGCATTCGACGATTTTCATGAAGAAGACAAAGAAAACCCTCAGGTTGCAGCTAAATCTGAGCACTTTCGTGGACTACGACCAATCCGACGATGGGAACTTTTCCAATAAATTTAAAAAACTTTCTATAGCGTGATAAATATTAATATTTAGTCTCACGCACAGCGCACTGGTAGAGATGCCGCTCAATAATTCGCGCATGGCCTCTGGTTGCAATCCGCCCAGTGCCAAGCAAACCTCTCATCTCACAAAATGGGTACCACACTTCCTTGGGACGAACTTCGCCCGATGCACCCATAAAGAATGACGACTCTCTGCGGAGGAGACCTGCGGACTGGCACAAATACTCCGTTTTCCAAGGGAAATCTGCTCAAGCACCATTGAAATCCATGAAGAAGACAAATTCCTCAAACAGTATGAAATCCACATGCAGATCTGAAGATGTTCATGAACACTGGATGCGAGAAAAAGAGCCGATTGAAGGAAATGTGAGGATTCACACACTATGCTCATGTGAATGAGCGGGCTATATAAAACGATTAATTTTTTAACGAAAATTGCTACATTCATTTCGATTTTTGGCCTAGAAATCTTTTCGATGATAGCAATTCACTGGAACCACACCTCCGTACTGTGGCGTCCTCTGTCTACATAGTCACCCAAAAAAAGGCAGCGAGTATCGGGAGGCCATCCATTCACACGAAACCATCTCCATATATCACTATATTGACCATGCAGATCTCCGTAGATAGTAATTGGTACAGATAGCTAAAAACAATCGTGATTTATAATGCATAATTTGTTATTTACTATCCATTAGTTTTTCGCATGGTAGGGTATTATGTGAAATACAACTTTCATTTGCAGCCTATCATTCTTTCATGGCTGACATAATTGCAAAACCCAGAACCCAAACCAGATTCGAACCCGCAATTATCCCTTTCCGACGGCTCACTTGTTACCCACTGCACCACTGAAGCCCTTACTTTCACTTTTCCCAACTGGTTTCTTACCCTAAAGGTGCCATCAGCAATCACTCATTAACGAGAGTGACCTGAAGAGCACAAATCGGCATTAACCCCGGTTAAGTTGAAGATGCTGTCGAAATCTTGGTTTAGTTTTTTTGAGCAATTGTTTTATTAATAAAATAAGGGAGATGGTTATTGACCTCTGAGAATTCATTTCTTTGCAAACTCCTAAAATTTCCACAATGCTCAAATTACAAAATTGAAGTTGGAAGTTGTTATAAAAATAGAAGGTTGTGTATAGACATAAACCTCAAGCAAGGTTGGCTCCGTTTTGAGTAGATCGTAAGCTCGTCTTAAGATTGCGAGCACTACGTCTGAGCACCATTCTATCTCACACGGACCGAGACGAATAACCTTAAAAGGGTTCCCAGTTTTAAAAATGGATTTGGGTGTTTGATGAACACTATTAAGGAATTAAAAAGTTCAACACGTTATATGACGCTAACTTTGACATCAAGTTACCATGAAAGCGAATCAAGAGCATTTCACTTTGATCTGGGGAGGTTCTATACAAAAGGTGGAAGTCAGGAGGCACTCACGCTCAAACGACAGTGTGAGCCTGTGTAACCAGCAAACATGTATCACCTTACATGAAAGGTCTCAGCACTCTTTAGAGGAACAGTACAAAAACATCTTTCGGTTTCAGTAGAGCAATGTTGGTTAAAACTGAAAGGCCGAGAAGTGAACTCGCAGCGATTTTCAGGAATCTGCCAACATACTTCCAATAATGACCTCACTTTGATCTCGAAGGAGACCGCGTCCAGATTGTAATTTTGTGAATGTTTTGCAATAATAACAACCAACCTCAAATAGTATGTCCTCCATAGTAGACTTGCTATTTACATTCGACAATGTCGCTTGTTTTTTTGGTTCCCTATATGTGATGCGATCACTGGTGGAGTAAGTAAGCACCTATGAGTTCACTATACTTACCAGGAAGGAAAATTACTGCGTTAATTTCTAATTTTTAGTGAATCCAGGCTTATCGCATGGCATCACCAGTTAGCGGGTCTCCCAATGAAGCACGAAGAAACTTTTCATTCTATATGAAAGCATCAGCACCTATCTTTTTCGTTCTCTAACGCCATAATGGCTCAAGGTCAACTAGTACAAATGCAACGTCATGACACAGCGCTGAAGACGAAAGGTACGAAGGCAGCAATGCACTAGTCGTCCAGAGAAAGAATGGGCCAGCTACGATAACAATGCTGCCAGAAGTTTTACAACAGTTCAGGGCCATTACTTACAGCACGCATCTTCACTGAAGTTAAGCAGGTAGTTGTCACATCCACATTTAAAGACGAAATCCGCTCAATAACGTTGTTTGTTTCAGATGATGAGAGCTTGGGTTGAATGGTGAAATCAGTGAGGTCGAGCTAAATTAAAACAATCTCAAGAAGACTGAGCTAAGCCTTCCGACTGAAACTTTTATCTCCTGTCGGCTTTACCACAATAAGCAAGAATACTCCAAACATTCTGAACACGCTTAATTATTTATTATAGAACGCTTAATGGGGTAAATATGCCTATAATCTACTCGACTTTCTCTGATATTACCTATTTGGTTGGCCTGACTAAACGATGGATGAAAGGAGCCTCAGTGCCATCATTTTCGATTATCTGCTATTCTGCTTGCTTAAACAGAAATTCTTTTCCAGTTGTCAGGATAACCTAGGATACACCTTGCCGTTAAAAAGAGTAGGCAGTAAGTAATAAGTTAAAATTGTGATTATAACTACAACCTCAGCTTAACTGGGTTCGTTGCCTATTTAGGCTTCCCAGATCAATCCCGCTGACGGATGATTGCTGATGGCAAAAGATCGATAGAACCAGCTCAGAGTCAGACGAAACGAAAGCCCCGCATGGTGTGGTGGTGAACGCGTTACTCCCCGGAAAGGAAAACAGCGTGTTCGTTCCCCACCGCGGTCCGGAGTTTTGCAAATATCTCAACATCATTAATGTCAGGATAGCCCTATCATAACGAGAACATACTACCACCAATTCACCGAGCTTAGGTTGTGGAAGTGTGAGATCTCACTCATTATAACTATGGTTTTCTCCAATACACTATTTTCTTCATGAGCAGATACGAGGTTTTTAACAGCAAGATTTATTCAATACAATATCGGCCAAGGGTTA